TCCATCCCTGCCTTCTTGCTACTTCCCCCAGGGCTTGAGAAATTTCTCCCAGGCTGCTGCTCTTTGGGTTCATTCATTTAACCTAAAAATAATTTACTACCCCTCCAAAATTATCAATAGTGCCTCCCAACTTTTTTCTCCCTCTGAGAAAGGTATTTGGTATTTAAGCCGCAACCATATGGCCCTTCTTTGAGTTTCATGTTTTCAGGACTCCCATTTCCATATGCACCTTAGTATATTTGCATGCATTTTTCTCTCATTAATCTGTCTATTGTCAGTCATTTTCAACAAAGCTTCCGTGGGTAGAGAGAAAGCTTTCTCTCAGTTTCTACAATGTTATGTAAAAAATATTACAAGGATACAAAGAAGTAAGTTGAAATGAAAGGTTTTCAGTGTTCTCTCCTAAATTAAAGGTTCTTCTCCTCTAACCCACTACCTTATAAAACATAATAAAGCTCCAAGAACTCAAAACCTTTATTCAAATAATATGTAGAAAGTATCTAATGTTTTTATTGGAAGGTAAATATGAGCATATGGACACATTAAAAAATCTCAGTTACAAAACTTCAGCCTCCTTATTACTGGCTTGTCTTTAATGTGCCCCTCTGGCCTATGACCCAGCCTCTTATTTCCTCATCTTTGATCTACCAATACTATTTTTCCCCTCTATTTTCGTCCCTATTTCTTTATCCTCAGGTCTACTCACCTTTCGCAGAACTTTCTACCATTTCTTCTTCCTGTGACTTCTTGGATCAAATTCTAACACATCCTTATATTTTTCTACAATATCATTTAACTAAAAATCACAGCCCTCAAGCAAATATCTTCTTGATAAGCTACTCCATCTTTCACAGCAAAGAGATACAGATAAAAAAACTGTTCCATGCTATTTTCTTCCACCCTTGCTTGAACACTCTGTTTTGAAACATATCTTGTTTCATACCATCTTTCTCCCATCTGCATTGCTGTTGTTTCAGCGCTTCCAGATCTCTGTTACTGAGTAGTTTATTGCTAAAATCACCTGAAAGGATTACCCAAAAGAATCCTTAATGACTTAGTCTTACAGTCGCTTTCTAATTCCAGCATCCCTCATAGTCACTCCATCTTAAACCCCATTATTTTCAAGTCTTGACTCTCCTACCCACTTTCAGCATATAACCTCAAATTCTCCTTAAATTGGAAAAAAGAATCAGGGCATTTTTTCCTTTCCTTCTCTCTGAAAAGATACAGTACTCCACGGCTTCCTTTCATAGGCTTTCCCATTTACATGTGTTCTTAATGCCATGTCTTAGAAACCCTTGTCATAGATACCCTTGTTCTCATTTTCACTGATCCCTAAAATGTTTCTACCACCAATCTCATGTATACTCAAAACTTCTCTAAAAACATTTCCTGGGGTTTGCTAGCTCACTAAGTTTCTGATCTTTTCCTTTCTTCTTTCACTGTTAAATTCCTTAAGGAGCAGTCTCTTCTGCTTTCTTTATGACTTCTTAATATTTTTTACCTCATTATCTAAGTATTACTCTTACCCCTTCCTAAATATACTCACTCGATTTTCATAATTGTCCTCCTAGAGATGAGATCTAGTAGTCCTTTATGGCTCTTGCTTCTCCTTAAACTCTGTAGAATTTGACTAAGTTGGCTACATTCTTTTTGAATCTTTCTCTGTGAAACTGTAAGTCTTAACGACAATTTCATATTCTCTTATACTACTTTGCTTTCCTTTTTTGTATGCCTTTCTAAAGTTCTCATTCCCTTGGTGTTCTGAGCTTTCAAAACATTTTATGCATGTTGATGACATCAGAATTTCCAATGCTAGCTACTACTTGCTCCTGAATCCTAAAATCAGAGTGAAAGATTACTATTAGATAATGCCTCCTAAATATTCTTCTAGCAGCTAAAGTACAAAATAATTAGAACAGAACTCATGAAAATAGTTTCTCTTTCTAGCCACGAAGGATTAGCTGATGTCAGACTAAATCTCCCAATGAGAACAAATACAAAAGCTATTTCGATACAAAAACAATTGCTTGAAGGAATTTCAAGAGCCAGAAGTTGAAGGATCATTATGCTAGAAAGAAGGAAAATACATTGAGATGTAGCTGCCATCACACTTCATCCTCCTTTGAGGTTTTGCAAAAACAAAGCAAGCATGGTTGTCAGGATTCAAAAAAGCTGCTAAAAGGATTGTATTAGTTCATTTTTACACTGCTGATAAAGACATACCCAAGGCTGGGCAATTTACAAAAGAAAGAGGGTTAATGGACTTACAGTTCCATGTGGCTGGGAAGGCCTCACAATCATGGTAGGAGGTGAAAGGCATGTCTCACATGGAGGCAGACAAGAAGAGGGCTTGTGCAGGGAAACTCTCCTTTTTAAAACCATTAGATCTTGTGAGACTTATTCACTATCATGAGAACAGCACGGCAAAGACCTGCCCCCATGATTCGACTACTTTCCACCAGGTCCCTCCCACAACACATGGGAATTCAAGATGAGAACTGTGTGGGGACACAGCCAAACCATATCATTCTGCCTCTGCCCCTGCTCCTCCCAAATCTCATGCCCTCACATTCCAAAACAATCTTGCCTTCCCAACAGTCCCCCAAAGACTTTACTCATTTAAGCATTAACTCAAAACTCCACAGTCTAAAGTCTCCTCTGGGACAAGGCCAGTCCCTTCTGCCTATGAGCCTGTAAAATCAAAAGCAAGTTAGTTACTTCCTAGATATAATGGGGGTACAGGCATTGAGTAAATACAGCCATTCCAAATGGGAGAAACTGGCCTAAACAAAGGGACTACAGGCCCCATGCAAGTCTAAAATCCAGCAGGACAGTCAAATCTTAAAGTTCCAAAATGATCTCCTTTGATTCCATGTCTCACACTTAGGTCATGCTGCTGCAAGAGGTGAGCTCCCACAGCCTTAGGCGGCTCTGCCTCTGTGGCTTTGCAGGGTACAGCCCTCCTCCTGACTGCTTTCACAGGCTGGCGTTGAGTGTCTGTGGCTTTTCCAGGTGCATGGTGCAAGCTGTCAGTGCATATACCATTCTGGGGTCTGGAGGATGGTGGCCCTCTTCTCACAGCTCCACCAGGCGATGCCCCAGTAGGGACTACGTTGGGGCTCTAATCCCACATTTCCCTTCTGCACTGCCCTAGCAGAGGTTATCCATGAGGGCCCTGCCCCTGCAGCAAATTTCTGCCTGGGCATCCAAGCATTTCCACATATTCTCTGAAATCTAGGCAGAGGTTTCCAAACCTCAATTCTTGACTTCTGTGCACCCACAGGCTCAGCACCACATGGAAGCTGCCAAGGCTTGGGGCTTCCACCCTCTAAAGCAACAGCCTGAGCTGTACCTTGGCACCTTTAAGTCATAGCTGGAGCAGCTGGGATGAGGGTACAAAGTCTCTAGACTGCACACAGCACTATTTTTTCCAACTAAACCTTTGAGCCAGTGATGGGAGGGGCTGCCGCCAAGATCTCTGACATGCCCTGGAGACATTTTTCCCATTGTCTTGAGTAATTAACATTCAGCTTATTACTTATGCAAATTTCTACAGCCAGTTTGAATTTCTCCTCAGAAAATGGGATTTTCTTTTCTATCACATTGTCAGGCTGCAAAATTTCCAAACTTTTAGGCTCTGTTTCCTTTTTAAAACTAAATGCTTTTAACAGCACCCAAGTCACATCCTGAATGCTTTGCTGCTTAGAAATTTCTGCCAGATACCCTAAATCGTCTCTCTCAAACTCAAAGTTCCACAAATCTCTAGGGCAAGGGCAAAATGCTGTCAGTTTCTTTACTAAAACAAAACAAGAGTTACCTTTGCTCCAATTTCCAACAGGTTCCTCATCTCCATCTGAGACCACCTTAGCCCGGATTTCATTGTCCATATCATTATTAGCATTTTGGTCAAAGCCATTCAACAAGTCTCTAGGGAGTTCCAAACTTTCACACATTTTCCTGTCTTATTCTGAGCCCTCCAAACTGTTCCAACCTCTGTCTGTTACCCAGTTCCAAAGTTGCTTCCACATTTTTGGGTATCTTTTCAGCAGCACTCTACTCTACTGGTACCAAGTTACTATATTTATCTGTTTTCACACTGCTGATAAAGACACACCTGAGACTGGGAAATTTACAAAAGAAAGAGGTTGAATGGACTTACAGTTCCATGTGGTTGGGGAGGCCTCACAATCATGGCAGAAGGTGAAAGGCACATCTCACATGGTGGCAGACAAGAGAATAGAGTTTGTGTGGGGGAACTGCTCTTTTAAAACTATTAGATCTCATGAGACTTATTCCCTATGTACTATTCAAGAGAAAAGCACAAGAAAGACCTGCCCTCATGATTCAACTACCTCCTACCAGGTCTCTCTGACAACACATGGGAATCCAAAATGAGATCTGGGTGGGGACACAGCCAAACCATATCAAGGATAAAATCTGGAAGTCAAGGCCACCATAGAAAAAGTGTTCTAGTAAATATTCCAGATTTCAATTAATGGTCCAGAATGACTATACCTTATAATAACAGTAAAGTTGAAATAGAGGAGTTTCAACTAGAACAAGGCAATCTGCATAGCTCCATCTTTTATCAGAAGAAAACTAATTTTTCCCTGGAGGAAAATTATATTATCCTGAGACTCTACAAATTTTCATACACAATGTTCCACATTCAACCAAACATTAAAAGTCATGGTAGGAAACAGAATCAAATGACCAAAAAGCAAAGAAAAATAAATAAATAAAGACAGAACCAGAAATGATTCAAAAATTGAAGTTATAATACATGGACTTTAAAACTTTATAAATATGATTAAGTCATTTAAGAAAGTAGATGAAAAACAGAAATTTCTCCTCACAGAGCTGAAATTTATTTTAAATGAATCAGATAAAAACTCCAGAATGTGAGTCCCAGCCTGCTCCGCGCTGGCCAACGAGAGCAAACCCACTGACTCGCCTCTGTGGCGCTAACTCCTCGCTAGCTCTCCCCCTCGCACACGCTCACACCCGGCTCAAGATGGCGGCGTCGGGGGACTCCAACTCCTGGGAGGCGGACGCATTCTCCATGGAAGACCCAGTGCGGAAGGTTGGGGGTGGCGGCACTGCCGGCCGGGACTGCCAAGAAGGTGAGGAAGAAGACAAGGACGTCAAGAATAACTGAGATGACGATGATGATGAAAAAAAAGAGGAAGCAGAAGTAAAACCAGAGATAAAAATTTCAGAAAAGAAAAAAACAGCAGAGAAGATAAAAGAGAAAGAACGGCAAGAGAAGAAAAGGCAAGAAGAAATTAAAAAGAAGTTAGAAGAACCTGAAGAGCCTAAAGTGCTAACACCAGAAGAACAATTAGCAGATAAACTGTGGCTAAAGAAATTACAGGAAGAGTCAGACCTTGAATTAGCAAAGGAAACTTTTGGTATTAATAATACAATTTTTGGAATAGATGCTATAAACCCATCTTCAAGAGATGACTTTACAGAGTTTGGAAAGTTACTAAAAGATAAAATTACACAATATGAAAAGTCACTATATTATGCCAGCTTTTTGGAAGTCTTAGTTTGAAATGTGTGTATTTCGTTGGAAATTGATGACTTGAAAAAGATTACCAATTCACTGACTGTGCTTTGCAGTGAAAAACAGAAGCAAGAAAAGCAAAGCAAAGCCAAAACGAAGAAAAGTGTGGTTCCTGGAGGGGGATTAAAAGCCACCATGAAAGATGATCTGGCGGATTATGGTGGTTATGATGGAGGATATGTACAAGACTATGAAGACTTCATGTGACATTTTATCTTTTCCTGGTGTCATCTTTATGTTGCCCACAATCCCTTGAACATGTAACACAACTTACTTTCCTTTCAGTTCTGCCAAATGCTACCATCAGAAGTGCAGTGTCTTTTGTGCTGGTTATTTAGCCCCTCAAGCTTAGGTGCTAATGTGCAAATGAGGAACTTGGATCTTGCTGCCAAGGGGTTAAAATTGGGAACTTCAGTTGCTACTAAATCATAGTTCAAAACAAACCCAATAATGTTGTCATTGTTGCTATCTGATTTCATAGCAGCTGTCACTAAATTGGAAACAAATGGTTACAATATGACCAAAAAAATTGTGTAGTATTAACCAGCACCATTCGGTAATACAGCCTTAACCATACCTCCTTGAACTACTTCATAACTTGTCAAGAAAAGCAGTTTGCAGCAAGGGCATGTGGTGTGCACCTACTATTTAAATTGCTTTGTCTTAAAATTGAACATGAGGATACTAAAAATACATTTTGAAGAAGACTGCTTATCTCAGAGTGAAGATACTGCGGCTGAAAAGCACTGGTTTGATATAAAATTAAAATGACCAAAACCCTCCAGCTTTGAACCTAAAGAAGGTAAACCTCTCCATTACTGCATTACATGTTGTGGACTCTCTTCAGTGCAAAGACTATTTATCAGGCTATTTCTACTGACGAAGTGCTTTAGATGGGGGAGGGGAAATCTTTACTTGTTTTTATTTGCCTGATTTAAGTGTCTGAGAAACCTATATTTGTTCTCTTAGGCTGCAACGGAACAATTTTACCAGGGTTTTGGCATTTCCTTTCCTTTATAAAACATGCTCAGCAAACTGCACCAGTTAACTACAGTCTAGTAAATTGTTATGTTAACAATTATGACATCTGCAATGTTTTATAAAGCAACTATTTTAATAAAATCACTATTGTGAGGAATTAAATTTTGTGTTACCTCCTAAGAGATATTTTTTTGAGAGTATAGAACACAGCTCTTGGGAGTAGTTCTCTTTTTCTATTAAAGCTTAATAAATGCTTGACATAGTTACAGCTTTAAAAAAAAAAAAAAATCCAGAATGGAACATATAACATGAAATAAAAGCTATCTTAAATGTAATCAATAGTAAATTAGCACAATCGAAGAATGGAGTAGTGACCTGCAAGGTGGTTGGTGGAAAATGTGCACATTGAAATACAGAGAGACAAATGTTAGAAATGAGAAAGCATATAAGAGATAGATGGAATGTGGGAAATGGCCTATCATATGTATAATTTGTGTTTCTAGATGACTGGAAAGAGAATGCAGTAGAAGTAATATTTGAAGAGATGCAACTTAATAAGTTTTGCAAACTTTATTATCATAAAGTTCTATGAACCCAAACTATAATTACAAAGAAAATCACATATAGGCATAAAATCATTAAAATGATGACAACTAAAGACAAAAAGAAAAAAATTTTAAGCATACAAAGAAAAAAATTACATTTTTCCTCCAAATGAACTGTCAGCCAGATTCTGAAGAGATACAGTGGAACCCAGAAAATAGTAAAACAATATATTTGAAATGCTAATATAAAACTGCCAACTTTGAATTTTATACTCAGTGAAAGTATCCTTCAAAAATAAAGAGAAAATAAAAACATTTTCAGGAAAACAAAAATGATTGAATTCTTTTTTTTAAATATTTTAAATTACAGTGTATTAAATAAATATTAGCTTTGAATTCTTTTTT